GTGGTCCTCCAATGAGTAGGCTCTTTTCTGAAAACTTGTTTGATGCCTCCCGGTCCTCAGGGTCAATGTCCCCGACCAGGTCTGTTGCCTCGTGAAGCACAGGTTTCAACTGGCCCTGCTGGCGCTTCCTGATCACGCCTTGGGCTGACTTCAGGCTCATTCGGCCTTTCTGTTCCTGCAACCTCAGGTTCTGGCCTTGCCGGCACGGCTGGTTTCAATTTCACTCTGTTCTCCAGCAAGTGCGCTGGCGGTGGGTACCCTGGTGATTTCGGCGTCAATGGGGATGTCCTCCTTGGTGTTGCTGCTTGCTTTGGTGCAGCGCCATACCCACGGTGTCCATAGCTACTGCTCATGCTGGCGCTCGGTCCTCTTCTTGTGATTGGTGATCGGCTCCTCGACTCCTTGTCATACTTGCTCTGTCGGGGCCTGCTGCGCCTGCTCCTCATTGAACTCTCCTTTGATGAAGCTCTTCCCCTCTTAGGGCTTCGTGAGCGGCTCTTCTTCTTGAGCTCCCTCAACTCGCTGGTCAGAGTAGTCACCTGATTGCTTAATGCCTTCACCAACTCGAACAAAGACTTCGAGGTCTCTCACCTCTCTGGTGTTGGTTCAGATGCTCGAGGTCCTGACCTCATCTGTCCATAGGTCACCTCTCTGCCTCTTGGCGGGATCGTGGCTATTACTTTCGGCCTCGCGCTAGCTGCTTCTCCAACTACAGCTCGGCGCAGGTCCTCCGCTTCTGGGTCAATTGCCCTTGCGGGTGTTCTGGTCCTTGGATCATTCATTGATTCCTTCTTCTTCGTGATGTCCTTAGTCTTGTCCTTCTCTTTGTCCTTCTTCGCCCTGAGCGATGGTGTCAGGCTCACAGCCTTACTCTCCTGTTGGCCTTGTGGCGCACTCGGTTCTGTCACCGGTGCCGATACTGGGGTGATGGCCTTTGCTCGCAATGCAAAGTGCGCGATGACGCTCGCAATCTTGGGGTTCATGTTGCATTGTTGGCAGTCTCGGGCTCCTCCGCATCGCATGCGTGCCCAACTTCCAGCATCTCGGTGAACCACGGCCACCGATCTCACTCCTTCATGTCGAAGCAATGCGCCTGAGAGTGTTGCCATGCCAATCGACGACGTCCAGATTTGCAAACAAACACGATGTTGCAGCCTTCAGGATTGGCTTCTGCAAAGTACAGGATTGACCTCAACATTGCCAAGCCTTCAATCCTGTCTGCCATCTGGGTCCTGGAAACAGCGAACATGGATAATTTTGGTTGGCAAATTCCTTCGGTGCTCCGGCAGCATGTGCAAGACATCTCCTTGTGCTGTCGGAAACTTCATCTTCTCGCGGCGGTCTGGGTAATCCCAGCTGAGTCCTACAGAGGTCACCCAAATCTTCTTGTTCTTCGGCACGCGGGCTGCGTCCAGCCTTGCAGGAACTCCTCAATTGGCTCGGCCTCCTCACCGGCTGCTCATGGCTGCAGGTCTGAAGCAGCTGTCTGCCCTCAGTGCTCTGACACCTTTAGGCAATTCCTTGCTGCATACCTTGCAAATTGGGAAAGGTTCAACATCATAAGACCGGTTTTGGAACATCGATGGATCTGCAAATCACCAACTCTTTTGATGGTCACTACACCGGATCCCATCTCCTTGACCAGTCCCTATGCGGCTACAGTGAGATCAGCAGTCGGGTTTTGCCTGCGCTCAATTCATGCGACTCCATGATGCCTGCAACGCCGTCCCCGTTGTTTGCGCAAATGGCAAAGGGCAGCTTCCTCACGCCTTCTGTTCTTGAACTGGCAGCAAGGCCGGTGAACTGTCTCCCTTCTTTGTTCAACCACGGCATCTTCATTCCTTGTGCCTCCAAGCGCTTCTCCAAAAATCTCTGCCCAGTATGATGAGTGAACAGTGCAGTTACACCCTTCGTCAAGAGCTCCCCAAACGTCTGGTTCATTGGGGTCATAAACGTCCACTACAGGGAAGTGACCCACACGGACTTCATCGCTCAACAGGCCGTTTCCGTGGTAGCTCACCTTTCCCAAGGTGGAGAACTGCCTTCTCCCCTCTCGGTGGCTTTCACTATACAGTCCTGGAGCACCGTGTGGAGGTCTGCCGCAGAGAACTCTTCGCCTTGAGACAGCTGTTCAGAGATGACTGTGTTTCATGGACTTCTTAGCCTCCATCGGCATTTCGCTGATCACCAACTCCTACTTGTCACACGGGACGAGCCCCGGTGGTCTATGTCCTCGTGTGCAAGTGTCTGGCTCATGTGTAGGCTCAGCTTCACGCCTCTGGGTTGAGCTGTGCCCGCATTCGCGGAATGTCTTCCTGACGGTATATGCCGTTGAGCCTTGATAGCTAAAGTTCTTGCATCCTGATGCACACGGATTGGGCAATGGTGGCACAGGTGGCCTTTTGGCTGCTGACGACTTAGCCTTCGGTTGGTATGCCCCGGGGTCCATGCCCCTCAAAGAACGGCTCACCAACTGCTTGCCTTCCACAACGTAGTGCTGTAACACCCAAGTCAGAAAGTTCTTGAGCAATCCTCCAGGGCCTTTGACATTCAATCCCCAAATGACATATTGAGGATGGTCTCTAACAACTTGCTTGTATGTCATGCCCTTGTGCGTGCCGTACTTGAGAACGGTGTTTTCGCCTTCAACATCCTCTTGCATTTCTACCAGCTGGACATCTGCTGAGGCTCAGCGGTACTCATCCTTGCTCTCCTCTTCATGGCTCCCGCTGAAGCTATTGCAGGTACCTCAGACAGTTGTTCCGGCTCGGCCGAGCTTGGGGGAAACAGATCAGCAACGGGGGCTTTGTTCTCGGCCATCTTCTTGGTGTATCCCTTACCTGTTCCCGATGCTGTCAATGCAACTGGCTGGTCGTCTCCTACAGCATGCAAGTACAGATTGTCTTCTTCTTCTGACGTATCGCTCATGTGGGCTGCATATGCTGTGTTTGATGGGGATGCCGGATTGGATGGTGTCCCCTGGTTTGTCCTGGGTCCTGAAAAACTTACACTCTGGGTCACCTGCCCAGTGTCCATGGCCTCCACATCTCAGGCATTTGCTTTGCTTCTTGAGGTCCTTCAACTTCGAACTCCTCTGCTCCAGGGTCAAGTGGGATCGAACGACCTTCCCCTTGCCCTTGCTCTTGCCTTTGGAGCTTTTCCTTTTTCCTTTGCCTGTCGCCTTGCCAAAAGCAACATGGGCTGCTAATTGCAGCTGTATGGCTTCTCCAGTTGACATCGGCTCTCCTTCATCCAACTCCTCCAGTGCTGTGAGGGCCAGGGCTTCTTCTTCATCTTCACACTCATCATACTCCTCAAATGACTCAGCTGCTTCCTCCTCTTCCTCAGCAAGAAGGCCTACTGGTAGAGCATCCTCATGCTCGTATGTGTATTCGCCTTCGAGTTCCCATTCGGGATGCCCGGGCCAGGCTGGATACGCAGACCTTCTCCAGTTGCCGCGGCTGGGAGAAGAAGAGGAACCACTGTAGCTCGAGTAATCGGAGCGCTTGCCTCTACCTTTGCTCGGAGTCGGCATGCCAAAGACCTTGCCTTCCCGAAGATGTACACCTCCGTAGTTCGTCGCCAGAGCTCTCTACCTTGTCCATTTCTCGCCCGCCGTCCGAGCAAGCTTGGATGACAAGGATCTCCTGGTGCGAGATGTTGGCGAGTTCGAGCATCAGCTCTGCCTGCATCTGTTCTGACAACTGCAAGCTGCTGTCCAGCTCCTTGAGTGTCCTCCACCAACGTTTCCGTCTCGATGTGTAGGATACCATGCTCTCGCCCCTCTGTCGGGATAGTGGGCCCATTGGCTTCTGACCTGCCCTGAACAACTCTCCGGCTTCCTCGCTTGCTCTTGGGAAAACCATGTCTCTCATCTTCTTGATGAGGGTCTTGAGTCCATCAGGCTCGGCGAGTGCCTCTAAGCCGAGGTCTCTTGCGACCAAGAACGCGTCGCCTCTCAAGCCTTCCACCACGCGATGGACCATTTCCGCGCTCATGTCGCGGTATGATTCAATGATGGCTCTTTCGCTGGTGTCTCTGTTGCGCCTTCTGTTCCTCCTTCTGGGCTCTTCGCACTTCCTTTCGAGGTCTCCTTAGCCTCTTTTGCTTTCAGGCTCTCTTCATACATCCGGATTCTGAGTGCTGTCCTGAATTCCCAATCATGGAAACCCTGCGAACTGCCTGAGCGGGTTTCGGCAGGGGTCGAATCTCTATCTCTTCCGTGGTCAGTGGAAAACCTCAACCCAGCCACACTCATCCTCTGCAACCTTCGCCCTGCAAATGCCCGGAGTCGTTCCTTCGCTCCGCTACCAATCTGAATCTGGTCCAGCAAGCGCGGGCTTCACGCATCTTTTCTCGCCGGATGACTCAAGGGCCCTGTGATCCGAAAAGGCCCCGAGCATGCATCAATCCATGCTCCCATGATCGACATCCTGGCTTCACATCTGTACATGCAGGCTTTATTCACACTCAACCTGCTTTCAGGTTGTCGATCCGGCTTCGCATCCTATAGTTTCTCATCAGGGTCAATCTCGGCCATGTCCATGACCTTCAGCAAAAGGTCAGCCTTCATTGCCTTGGTGAGACTGTCAGCTACCATGGTTGCTGTACTAATCCGTCCGAAGTGACAGCCGTGCCGCCGCGATCTCAATGCTGAGTCGCTTGTCTGCAATCTTCGGTGGTACCTCAGCCTTCAAATGGCTTACCAAGGGTCTGCAATCCGACAGCATCACGTGAGGCACGTTCTGTCTGACGTCCTCCTCCCATGTGCTTAGTCCACGCAGCCGATCTTATGGGTATCCCAGGAGCGCAATCTCGGCCGTCAGACCGGGCTCTCCGGGCTCTCGGTCGCTTTTGTTTCTGGGCCGACATGTCCCAACAAAGGGTCGACTCACAAAGGTCAGAGGTACCCACATGTCCCCACAGGGTCCTTTTGATTTGCACACATCCGAATCCCCACCTCTAACTTGCCCCAGGTCCCTAGTTTCGAGACCCCGCGCCTGGCCCATGGCCTTCCTGTCGCGCATGTGGCGCCAGAATCTGTGCAAGTCGCTGCAGTGGCTCTGGGAGCTGCTCCGAGTCGAAGACTGGCCATGGGAAAGCCCGGGTGAATGGATCACGCCCAACAAACCACAAGTGAGGGTTGTTCTAAATTCTAAATGCAAGGCCCTAAGGCCCGTTTTGGAACCCGTTAATTTAAAGGGAAGCAAGAGGAAAGGCATGCCGATTTTATCTATCATGCCGTGACGTCACCTCACTTGTGAGGAAAAGCACTCCAGCCCAACAAAGGTTTACAAAACCCCCGATATAAACGCATTCAGCAGAACGGCCCTTTGCCGATAGCAGCATGCGCAGCACCAAAGGAAGAGCTAATTTGACTTGTGCATCTGGAGCTGTTGAAGTCCATAGTTGACAGTCTATATACATGCTAATACACATACATGTGCACATGTGTTCTGCTTTGATTGCATGCTCTGGGTTGCGATGAATGCGTGAACCTGGAAAGAAATACACCAAAACTGATAGGGGACACACGTTGAAGGGCTGGCAACCGGGAAAACTTCCTGCAAAGCGCTGAAGGACGGGGATCCCCATTGACAAGACCTGAATCTGAAGCGAATGTCGACAAAGCCCGAAACCGTCCCTTGAAGAGACAGGTGTTGAACCCAGCTCTTCCCCAAGCGACGCGCGAAGTCCGCAAGGTTGTTTTCCAAGGTTGCTTCTGTCCTGGATGGCTCAGACTGCGTAGCCGTATGGCACAGGGCTGCAGCCCAAAAGAACTATGTTAGTTATGTTCCCGCCACTGTTGGCGAATTGGAGCCAAGCGGCGGCAGATATCAAGGTGCAAGGATTGCAACTCAACACTGGTGGGAGAGGAAAAACTGGTGACACACCTGGCTCTGATGAGCCTCAGTTGTCGGCTTGCTGGACCCCATGATGGGTGACCACGCATACCTGGCACGGCCTTCTGCTCGAGATGGCCTCCCAGGAGCGGTGCTCGGCGCACTGCTCGAGGTGGTAGGTGGTGCCACCGCGGCAGAGGTAGATCTCTGCGTTATCCCTCGTCTGAAGTTGACGCTGCAAATCCCTGACTTGCCGTCGGAGGTCTCACGCGTGCCACCGTAGGGAACGAAGCCCGCATGGTGGCCCACATAGCCGTACAGCGGTTGTCGTTGTGGATTTTGTCGAAGGTTTTGTGGTCCTTGCTGATTTGGCTCTGGAGATGGCATATTGGTATGCGCTTTCCTTCCGCTCCTGTGGTGTCTTCTTCCTGGCGGCCTGGTAGGAGCCGTCGTCCACCAATCGAGTCCAATGAAGACGGAGTCGATCGGCCAGGATCTGCCCTGCTGACATCTTAGTCAGTCCGTCTGCCAGTTGTCTTTCAGAGGAGACCCAGCGTACCTTGCCGTTGACCTCGGACGTCTTCTCCTGGCCACCATGACTTCCAAGGCGGTGCGCTTGTCCGAGCCCAGTGAAGCTTGTACCTCTTGCTTGTCCAGGAGGTCGTAGAGGGCTGTGGCATCCACGACGAGGACAGCGGGCGTCTGCACGATGCCCAACTCAATCTCCTCGAGACCCATGTTAGGGTTCATCATGATGGAGTAGAAATTGGCCGCGAAGGTGAGGCTGTCTGCTGCTTCAGCTGCTGCTTGGCTCTCGCTGCCAGGGTCGATCTGGCTACCCGGGGCAGTTTGAACGATCTCCAATCAAGGATGTGATATCCGCCTTCGATGCCTCGCTCGATCATGTCACGGTGCACGAGGGCGAGGATGAATCCCTTGAGAGGCGAGGTCCTTGCGGCAGGCCAAAGCTGCATCTGACCATGCGACAAGACTCCAGTCGTTCTGGTTGTCGGTGACGCGCTCATACATCAGTCCCACATCAGCGTTGGCCTTCGCGCGCCGGAGGGCCTTGTTGCTGTTGTGGATGGTCTTGACATTGGCCGTAGCGATCTCCCCAGAGGTGCTCCAGCGTATGTGCTGCGACCCTCTGAGGTGTGGTAAAATTCTTCGTTGGCTGTTCCGCCACCTGTCCTGTCGAATGGGTGCCCCAGTCGCGGATCAAACATATGGTTCCGCGCCATGTAGTGGTGTCGGATCAGATAGTGACTATCCTTTGATAGGCTCCAGGAGTCGTGGGGATCATTTGCCCGTGGTCGTCCAGGCACCGGCCTGGTGGGAGAGGCCAGTTGTTGTTACCAAGGATGTCAACATGAAATGCATATTCAGCAGTCTCCACCTCAGTTTCCGGTGTTCGTTATCTCGGTGCAGGCGAGGTCCGTAGGAGATGGTCTCTTGTTGATCAAAACGTCGACGTTATTGTGCGAATGTCTCACCATCTGTCTTCTGGTAAGGGTCGGGGTTGTTCGATGTCCCCGGCGGGGCTGTGATGGTTGTAGTGGTCGGCGCGATGGGCTCAGGTTCCTCCGAAGGTTCACCATCACGAATTTCCAAATAAATCCCTTGAGGTCCTGGAGAGGCTGGTTCCGCAACTCCGGGCTTGAGCGTGGGTTGTGTGGCTGTGGGTGCTGGTAGTGTTTGAGGATGGCTGTTGCCCATGGGTATGTCACCATCAGTCTCGACTTTGATGAATCGAGTCCTGCCCGTCCATGCGTATGGAAGTTCGAAGTGGGAGTCAAAGGGTTGATGCTAATCATCATTGCGACGTTCCGCCTCCTGGGCCTGTTGGCCGGTCGTTGGCTCTATGCGATAGATCTCCGTGTGCCGGAGGCTGCCCAATTGGTTGTACGGAATATCGGGGTCTTCCGGAGATGGACAGAATAGCTGTCGTCGTGAGGTCACATGGACTCTCTCGAACGCGCTGCCATCTGGCGAGATCTCCCAGTAGTCTGTGAGAGGTCCTTCAGGCTTTAATAGCTCAGAAAGTCTCTTGTTGTCGGGCTCCTCCGTCTCATCATCAGTGATTACATCTTCGAGCTTCCGCTTGTTGGACTTGGTGAGATCGACGTAGGTTGTTGTTCCTCTGTTCCGAAGTTCCCGTAGGATTCGCTGTGGATCTCTATCCTGCTCGGAGAGATCTGTGACGGTTCTGCGGACATGTTCGGGAGCTGCCCTCAGGAGATTGGATCCGTGGACGCTCCAATAACACTTGGGCTTGCCCGTGTTGGAGTCCGATTCCACCATGACGATCGACACTGGTCCCATTTCATGTTGGGTCCGCGCCGGCGGCGTCGCGCCAGTCGTAGACTCTGGCGCCGATGCTCAGCGGTTCAGCTTGTCCACAATACTGTCGAAGTCAGCACGACGTAGTCGGGCATCGGTGTCAGCTGTCAAGATGGCCTGGCTGGCCTGGAGCTGTAGTTGCAGCTTCTGCTGGAATTGCTCGGAAGGCTGAAGGTGCACAGGATTCCTCTTCGACCAGTTGTCCGGGAAGGTGTGGTTGGTACCCTAGAACCCATTGTACGGGAAAGAAGCCCTTGTACGGTGGCCATGCGGTTCATATGGCCGGCAGGGTATGGTCCAGGGATTCCTTGACCCTAAGCTTCTTGCCCGACGGGCTAGGAAGATGTCCAGTGCTCGGCGTAGTAGTCGGTTCGTCTTTGCAAGGCGTTCATGCGCTTCTCCAGGAGATATGGCCAGCTTGATGGGTTCTTGCACTGTCTCACAAGCTCGGAGCACCATGCTGTGAGAGTCCACTTGGAGCATCTGTGGCGGTCCGAAGATCCTGATCCACCCTCTCTGCGCGGCCTGAATGAAGTCCTGGCTGCCCTCAGTGACTAAGACACGAGCTGCCATGTAGCGAGTCGCCGAATGGAGCCTGGTGAGGACCGGGACTGGCTTGCCCTGGATTTGAATCCAGAGAGCGTCGGCCTGAAGTCGTTGGTTGGCTGGGGAAGCCCCGCGATCCTCGAGCATCTTCTGGAGTTGCTTGTTTGTTGGATGACCCAGGTTTCGGTGCAATCGAGCGATGAGTCGCTGGGATTCCACTGGATTGTCTGCTCTGATCCGTTTCTGGCTCTACGTTGTCCGTGGGCTCGTCTGCATTCACGAAGTCTTGTTCCTTCCGCAGTTCAGTGACGAGCTGGATGGCATTTTTGAGGGCCTTGCGCATGTCAGGCTGGTATGCCGCGGCGGCTTCGGTGAGGCTGCCGATGCCGGGGCATGAGCCCTGTAGGGGCACATGTTGATGTCCGCCAGGGCACTTCAGATTTCCTCGGTGGTGAGGATAGCCGTAGGTTTCCGGATGTAAGACCACGTGGTAGATGTAGTCCAGAACCTGGCTCCGTAGGCGCATTGGTGGAACTCGGCTCGATGTCCTCGGAGACGTAAAGCTGCAGCGTCCCAGGCAAGAGACCATTGAGGCTGTTCGATGTAGGCTTGTCTGCCAGCCTGTTGTTGACGGAGATACACTCGCCTGGTGACTTTGAGATTGGTAGGCGAAGAAGTTCAGCCTCAGACTGCGCTCGCGGCTGGCCCGCGCAAACGCTCTGCACTCGCGGCTAGCCCGCGCAGACTCACATAGCGTAGCGGCGGGCCCGCTCAGATTGCACTCGCGGCTGGCCCGCGAAGATCCACAGCGGCGGGTCCGCTCGAACTGCAGTCAGACTCCAGATACAGACTCCAGACTCCACACTCCAGACTCCATACTGCAGACTCCAGACTCCAGACTGCAGACTCCAGACTGCAGACTCCAGACTGCCAACTCCAGAATCCAGACTGCAGAGTCCAGACTGCAGACTGCAGACTCCAGACTGCAGACTCCAGACTGCAAGCTCCAGACTCCAGGCTGCAGACTCCAGACTGCAGACTCCAGACTGCCAACTCCAGATTCCAGACTGCACACTGCAGACAGCAGACCCCAGACCGCAGGCTCCAGACTGCAAGCTCCAGACTCCAGACTGCAGACTCCAGACTCCAAACTGCGAACTCCAGAATCCAGACTGCAGACTCCAGACTGCAGACTCCAGGCTCCAGAATGCAAACTCCAGACTCCAAACTCCAGACTGCCAACTCCAGAATCCAGACTGCAGAGCCCAGACTGCAGACTGCGGACTTCAGACTGCAAACTCCAGACTGCAAACTCCAGACTCCAGACTGCAGACTCCAGACTGCAGACTCCAGACTGCAGACTCCAGACTGCCAACTCCCAGACTCCAGACTGCAGCTGCTCCAAACTGCAGACTGCCAACTCCAGAATCCAGTCTGCAGAGCCCAGACTGCAGACTGCGGACTTCAGACCGCAGACTCCAGACTGCAAACTCCAGACTGCCAGACTCCAGACTGCAAACTCCAGACTCCAGACTGCAAACTCCAGACTCCAGACTGCAGACTCCAGACTGCAGACTCCAGACTCCAGACTGCAGACTCCAGACTCCAGACTGCAGACTCCAGACTCGAGATTCCAGATTCCAGACTCCTGACTCCAGGATCCTGATCATTTTCTGGTGGAATTTGGCCACGGGGCCAAGTTAAGTTATGTTAAGCCGTGGTGACGCAACTGGGCCTCACGCGGAAAGTTTGGCGGTTAAGTTGATTGAGTTACAACAGGGACGCCACGGCTCCACACGACCCGCCCAGGTTAAGTTATGTTAAGTTTTGTTAAGTTCTAAAAAACTGCACCGTCCTTTCCGGGCTTTGGGGCGGGGCTGTCTGGATGCTGGATTCCGGGGTCTGGACTGTGGATTCCGGAGTCAGGAGTCTGGATTCTGGAGTCAGGAGTCTGCAGTCTGTGGGGTTTGCATTCTGGAGCCTGGAGTCTGCAGTCTGGAGTCTGCAGTCTGGAGTCTGCAGTCGTGATTCTGGAGCAGTCTGGAGTCTGCAGTCTGGAGTCTGGAGCTTGCAGTCTGGAGTCTGCAGTCTGCAGTGGACTCTGCAGTCTGATTTCTGGAGTCTGCAGTCTGGAGTCTGGAGTCTGCAGTCTGGAGTCTGCAGTCTGCGGTCTGGAGTCTGGAGCTTGCAGTCTGGAGTCTGCAGTCTGGAGTGGACTCTGCAGTCTGGATTCTGGAGTCTGCAGTCTGGAGTCTGGAGTCTGCAGTCTGCAGTCTGGGGTCTGGAGTTTGCAGTCTGGAGTCTGCAGTCTGGAGTCTGCAGTCTGGAGTGTGCAGTCTGGAGTCTGCAGTCTGCAGTCTGGAGTCTGCAGTCTGGAGTCTGGAGTTTGCATTCTGAAGCCTGGAGTCTGCAGTCTGGAGTCTGCAGTCTGGAGTCTGGAGTTTGCAGTCTGAAGTCTGCAGTCTGGAGTCTGCAGTCTGGAGTTTGCAGTCCGGAGTCTGCAGTCTGGAGTCTGCAGTGTGGAGTCTGCAGTCTGGAGTGTGGAGTTTGCAGTCAGCAGTCTGGATTCTGAAGCCTTGATTGAGTCTTGCAGCCTTTCATCCGCGCACTCACAATCCAAACATGCAAAAAATCCCAAAGTGCCAACGGACCACCGCTTCAAGTGCCATCTCGAAATAAAAATCAACGCTGAAAAATTCCTGGGCGGACCAGCCGCCAGTGGACAACCGCTTCAAGTGCAATCTCGAAATGAAAATGAACGTGGCAAAAATAGCTGGGCGGACCGGCCGCCAGCGGAACCGCCGCTACAATGATATATCATCAAACGAGAAAAGCAAAACGGGCGGACCGGCCGCCGGCGGAGATACCGCCCCGTGCGACTATATTAAGGCGGACCGGCTGCCAGCGGAGACACCGCTATAGAAACGATTATCGCACAACAAAATTCAACCGAGTCCATCAGTGCAAAACATGCTCTGGCTCCATCGAGCCAAGCGTGCGAAGCAGCGCGAACAAACAGCGTAAACTGCAGGCGCGCGCGCCTGCCCTGCTGCGTTGAGTCACACGAAAATGTGTACTTTCCAGCGCGTAATGCTTCATCACTGCCATGCTTCAAAACGCATGTGTTTGCCAACTCGATGAACTTAGAACGAACTTAGCGGACTTAGAAAAACCTCTTTTCTAAGTTCAAGATAAGTTACTTATAAGTCCAAGCTAAGTGCTAAGTCACTTATAACTCCAGCGTAAGTACGACCCTATCCCAGTGGTTGATGTGCTGCGTGCGAGACCATTTCTTGCACGGCGGTGCAAGCCTGACTACGCCGGGAAGTTCTTCATCGAGTAGTCTTAGGAATGCTTTGGTGCAAGTCGCTTTTGTGAAGTCCCAGTCAGGCAAGTCAAAAGTCCGAGTTGTCCATCCCAGGTTGGCCAAAAAATAGTAAAAGGAGAGTTCAACGAACTCTCCTATTAACTATTTTTCTCTAACAGCAACACAACAAACAGCAAAACACAAACCAGAACAACCACTCAACAAAATAGATCAGAACAACCAGCATCAAAAACATTTACTAACAGCATAGCAACATCATTAAATCATACAAGCATACCAACAAAACACAAAACAAAAAACCATTCAAGCATACCAAATCAAACACACACACCAAGAAAAACAAAGCAACAGACCAACAATTTTAACACAAAAGAGCACAACAACAAAATACAAGGCAACTACCAACCAACGAAAAAACTGAAAGAACCTAGCATGTCAAATTTAGAACATTTGCAAGAGATAGCCAAAATCAAGAAAATAAAATAATATAATCTTTACAAATGATAGGTAAAATATAATTACAACATATAATATTTTACATGTTATAATTACATGACAATTAATGATTATGGATTTAAATAATAATCAGGCATTATGTCTTCAAATATATAATCAACATATGTTTCTATATCATCCCCATCTATGTATTTGATATTTTCTTTTCCTATTATGGCACAGGGCATTCCCAAGTTGGTAAAGCGGGTTTCCCAAGTTGGTAAAGGGGATTTCCCAAGTTGGTAAAGGGGGTTTCCCAAGTTGGTAAAGGGGATTTCCCAAGTTGGCACAGGGCATTCCCAAGTTGGTACTAGCAAAACCAGTCAGTATATCACCAACCACAGTGCCAAAAGACATGCCGCAAACTGTAGCCAACATGACCGCAAACTGTAGCCAACATGACTGTTCCAAAACTACCTGTCCCACTAAACATCTCTAATAAGTTCATTATTAGAGATATTTAGATAATATTATCTATGAATAAACCCCTGTTGCTTTACAAGCAATAGCGATTTACGAGTAAACCCCTGTATCTTCATCATAGTCAATTTGATAAAATGACATTGTGGATTGTTTAGGTTCTTTAATTTCTTTGTTATTGAGTTTGTTTAAATAAATATTTCTTTTATTCATGTATTCACTACTGTTTCTATCTACTTCCTTACTTTGATAACTGGTTGTTAGTGGTTTCTTCTTTTCCATTTCTTGTAAGATTTCTAAAATACCTTGTTCAGTTGTTTAACCATCTTTTCGAATCCTTGATCCATACAATATATACTATTTTACAAAATAAAACTTTGAAAACTAAACTTTTTGGTTTTATAAAATATTTTATATATTATTATAAGTTAATTCAAAGTTAGTTAATGTATAACTCGTTAAAGTATTCTTCAATTCAACAATTAAATTACAAATGATGCATTTTCTAAACTTTGAATATTTATGAAACTTTTCAATATTATCGGTAATATAAATTATAGAACACTTGATGCATTCAATAAACATTAGCAATAATTATATTACTATTTTTATAAATATTCTTTAATCTTCTCAATGTAATTTCATAAAATTGAATGGTATTTTTATTATCATAATTAGCAATAAATCTTGAAGTATATAAATATTCTTTGACAATAAAATTTAAATTCCGATTGTTCAAGTAAATCAGAATAGTTAATTGAATCATAAAACATGTTAAAATCAGTTTTACGATTTCTAAAATCACTAACAAAATGATTTTGTATATCATATTCACTATATGCTTCAATAAAATTATTTAGACTCATTTCTTTTACATCAAGGAATTCAATAATGTTATTTATAACATCTTGCATTATAAATAATAATACAAATATTTTAAATGTTACTCCATTTCTCTCAATGCTTGTTGACGACTTCTTGGTGTCATATGCATTACATCACTTATCATTTTAGTTCTACTCTTTTCTTCCTCGTTTTCTGGTGTGATTTCTCTATTCCATGAAAATGATATACTGTGGTCTTCACTACCTAATGTAATATCTCCGTTGTCATCCCTACTAATTTTTACAGTCCTATTATTCTTACTCATTTTAAACGAACAAGGATTGCAACTACATTTTACCCCTGTAGGGTTGATTTCAATTTCATTTCTCAGTTGTAGTTTTCCTTTACATAAAGGACAGTCGAATGTAATAAATTTACTTGATACTCTGTTTTGTTCATTTAATTTAGTTGTTGTTGGCTCTTCATCTGGAAATTCAAAATCTTCTGGTACTGGTTCTCTTCTAATCTTCTTTTCTTGGTTCTTCTTCCTTGGTGGCATTTATATTAATATTTACATATTTATGATTGATATATTGTATTCCTAACTTCACAAATTCTAAGGAATAATAACAACATTTCTTAATTTTATTATCAGTTATTATTACTTGTTCTATTTTCTCAACTTCATTACTAATATTGATATAATCTGAATAACTTTTATCCATATAAATAATAAGATAAAATTATTCTAATTAATGTTATTATTTTCATGCATATTAGAATATTCTCACTGGCACAATGTCAACACGGGGGGTTTCGTCATCGCTTCGTCATCTGGAAAGTGGGGGTTCAAACATGGCAAACTTAGGTCTCAACAAACTAATTATCTTCAATACTTATGATTGAAGTTGATGAAAGAGCCTGTTCTACTACGATAGACCCCATCCATATCATAGCAATGCTTTCATACAATAACTAATTAAATATGTTATTTTATAAATGTTTTTAATATTACTTTATTATGCCTGATGTAAAACCAATTGATGAAATCAAATATACTTTTAAACAGAGTAAATATGAACATGTGCCACATGTGCCAATGCGTGCCATGGTTGTTGGTCCGTCAGGCTCTGGCAAAAGTACGTTACTTGTTTCATTTTTATTCGATATATATTATAAAGTTTCTGAGAGATGCTAAATCTGGTCACCATCCGTAAATTTGGATAGTAGATGGTTACCAGTTAAGAAGTATATAAAAGAAGTTTTAAAGGTAGATACTGATAAAAGCCATCCTGGTGGGATGAGTTTCATTTGGAAGATTTAGAAAGAGTAATTGATACTCAAACTAAAATAATAGAATATCAAACGAAAATAGGAATGAAGAAATTATTTAATTGTTGTATTATTTTGGATGACGTATCTGATACTCCAGCAATAACAAGAAATAATAAGTTACTGAATTCGCTTTTCTGCAGAGGTCGCCATGCAGGAATAACAACGATTGTATCTTTACAGAAGAGCACAACAGTACCGCCAATTATTAGGGTTAATAAAAGTCATTTATTTTATTATAAAGTGAGAAAGTTGAAGGAAATAGAAATGTTACAAGATGAAATGTCAGCGATTGTTAGAAGTGATAATTTACACGAAAGCAAGAAACTAATATATAAATTTTATGAAAAAGCGACGGAACAACACATCATTTTTTATATATTAACCTTTTAGAGAAAAACCTAGACAAAATGTTTATGTGTTGTTTCCATAGTCATTTAAACATATCTGATAGTTAATATTTAAAGAGTAAGTCTTATATAATCTTATATAATGCCCAAAAAGGTTATGGACTATTCTAATACTTATTTCTATAAAATTGCTTGTAAGGACACTAATGACAATTCAATGTATATAGGTCATACTACAAACTTTACAAAGAGGAAAAACAGAGATAAGACGTCTTGCTGTACTGAACACAGCACACATTATAATTTGTCTTTATACAAGTACATCAGAGACCATGGACACTGGATTAATTGGGATATGGCTTTACTTGAAACAAAATCGTGTGAACATGTGCTTGAAGCAAGGAAACATGAGCGAGAGTTAATAGATTTAATGAAACCATTTTTAAATATAGCAAGACCATTTGTAACAAACGATGATTTAAAAGAATATAGAAAAACTACTACGAAACAAACATTGACACTATTAAACCAAAAAGACAAATATACAGAGATAATCGCAAGGAACAAAAAAGTATAACAGATAAAATATATAGAGATAATAATAAAGACAAAATATCTGACACTAAAACGAAATACTATCAAGAAAGACAAGATTATGTGAAACAGAAAGTAAAACAGTATAGGGAGGAAAGCAGAGATAAGATATTTGAAAAGATTGAATGCGAATGTGGCAGTGTTGCTTCAAAATTTTGCTTACCAAAACATAGGCGAACAATAAAGCATCAAGAATACTTGAAATCATTACAACCAGAAGAAACTCCTGAACATAATTAAAATATAACTATGATTATTACTAATAGTTGACAATGAAACTTTGTAAATGCGGTGGATTTTATCGTAAAGGGAATTATGATTTTCATACTAATTCTTGGATACATAAACTTTATAAAGTGTTAAAAAGACGACCAACAGACGGAGAATTATTAAGATTTCAACATATTTTTGTTGATGAAGATGATGATTATGAGACAAATAGCACTGTTTCTACATCAACACCTAAAAGTGAAAGAAGTTGTATAAGTAATTGATAACATTAAACATATAGTTTAATATTAATAATTAGAATAAACTAAAATTCATACATCGAACTCCATTTCAACCGTATAATCGCTTTTCAAGTTTCTCTATTCTTTCCTGTTGCTTCTGGACAATGTCCCATAATAAGGCAGTCATTTTTCCATAATCCATGGATAAATATTCATAATCATCATTAAATCATTAACAATACCGAATGTATTAGGTGTGAATTTCTGACAGTCCTGAGCAATAGAGCCTATCTCGTGCCTTTTTGTTTTCTTATTTTTCATGAATGTTTTCGCTTTAATATTCTTCAAGATTTCAATAAAATCATCCGTTCTATCATCAATGTCATCTGTTAACCTTTCATCTGAAGATAAATTAAATCCGTTAAAGGATGTAAATTGTGTATCGCCTAATTGTAGATACCTTACACCATTGATATAACTACTAATATTATTGAACGCTTCCACTCTCAAAATTTCATCGCTATTAACATATCTTAAATTAATCTTTGTAGTTATTCCAAATGTCATATCTCCTACGACCGTCCAATCACCTCGTAATTCGCTATTACTACCAATATTCAAAATTACCTTGTTATCGTCATAAGTAGTATCTAAACCAATCACAAATTTTATTGAATTAGCAGTGTTCGTATTTCAAATTATTGCATCATTGGTATTACTATAAATTTCAGTAGCATCAATACTTACTTTATTTGTAGCACCAATTATAATATTCTCACAAGTTAAATTACCACCGCTAATAACACTAGGGTCATAGAAATAACTCGGTTTAAATACAGATAAATTGTCATAACTCATCGTAGCGGTCGTAATGTCAGTAACCACGCCATCTACTCCAAAATCAAAAGATAACACTCCTAACAGTTTATCAACATTTGTAAAATTCATTCTTTTGATGACTGCCGGTGTCTCAAAATAGGATATTTCCACATCGCCCATAATAATTTTATTAGCAGTATTCACATTCAAATGACTATTAACATCAACAGAACCACTATTCCAAGAAGCAATACTAATTGAATATAAATTACCATTACATTCGGAATCCTTAAAAACAAATATTATATTATTGCTTCCATCCATTAACATATAACGATTAGCACCGACAGAAGCATCATTACGGATATGAAATGTAATCTGATGATTATCCATCAAATATAAACTGCTGGTAGCCACAAATGTATAATTTCTTATCCATGCTGAAGAATTAAAATTCAAATATGTATTATTCATTAAAACTTACAATTTTATCAGTTCCACTAAAATTAATATCGCCAGCAATTTCCATTACTTTTCCATTACTCCAAATATTACCTAATACATCAACCGCTTTATTAAATATTGTTCTTCTAACTAATCCATCACATAAGAAATATTGATTAGCCGGATTAGTAATATCACAAACACTGACAGCAACGAAATTATTTTGGGCAATGTATAACCCTTGAATAGCATCAGGAGTATAACTTCTAATTGAAGCAACGCCGTTCAAGTTTATATATGAGCCATTATTAATATTGATAAGATTGTTAGTTCCACTAAATGTAGCCTCGCCTGCAATTGTTAAATTTCCGTTCGCTTGTAGATTAGTAAAAAATAACCCTGCACCATTACAATATAAACCATGCCCAGCGGTAGGATTAGCGTTGATGCCCAAACAAACTCCATTTTGAGCAGTTGAACCAAGTCTAACATTTCCAGTGGGGTTAATTGTCATTGTAGCGGCAGCGTCATTACTTGTAAATTTACTTTCTTTAATTTTCTAAATAATTAATATAACATGATTAAATCAAAAAAAATAGGTTGAACACAAGCAAACCAGTAGTGATAGGCTCAATAAAAACACAGTTGCACTTGAGACCTTCTTATGATGAGTTGTTAAAGGAAACATTAGTAGAACATGAGAAAGAACCGCCCATCAATTGAAAATGTAATAGGCAGAAGGGCAACCAGACACAGGTTAAATCAATACGGCAGTCAGTTTGATAATAAAGATGCTGTAGATATTCAAAAGAAACAAGAACTGAACAGAAGAGAAGAAGTCATTAAAGAAACGTCGTTGGATGTTGGTGGCGTGACTGATAAAATTGATGACACGCTGAAACAACAACAGTCTTTCATAGAACAAGCAAACATGGAAGTGGACAAAAAGAAAAAGAACTTGAAGAGCGAGTGAGACAATGGAAAGAACAACAAAAAGAAATGGCAAATGCTGTTTCAAAACAATCAATACCTGATGGTGTAGAAGTCCATTCAACGGCAACAGCTGGTGAATTGCCAGACTTAGAACCTAAAAAGAAAGCAAACCTACAAGAGGAAGGGGGAGAAGAAGAAGCACAAGAAGAAGACCCTGTAGTTAAAGAAGACGATGACTTAATTAGAATTAATGATATTATAAATGAAATAAGGGGAAATACACCGGTACATTTTAGCAAATGTTCCAATGGAAATGAAAAGCATTATTGATGAAATATAAAATGTTGGATTAGTTAAAGATGACAAATTCATAGAATTCAACAACTTATTTAATGAATTAATTGAAGCCGAAACCAAAGCTGAAAAGAATGAAAAGAGAAATCAATTAAGGGAGTTTTACGCAAAGAACGTATATATTAAGTATATGAAAGAACAAAAGGCATCATCTTCATCAGGTACGTGATTAATAATAATTAATCTATAATATTTAATAATGAGTAATAGTAAATATTATGCATTGAGAAGAAGGAAGACCTTTGATGAAATGCTGAAAGAAGCAATGACGCACAGATTGAAAATTGAATTCATCCCAGAAAGACAGATAGGGGACACATCAATTGATAATATAGACTTTGACGTAGTTGTTCTTTCAAAATATGGTAGAAGTCAATGGTTGAATGCTAGGGTTCAAGCTGATATATCATCTAAATTGTCGTCAGAAATGTTTGATGAAATAGAAACACAACAAGAACCAAGCAACGTTAAACCTTTTGAACTTCATAAGTTAAAACCTTTAATACCATAAATTAAACAAGGTAATGACTTAAAATGACTTAAAGAAATAGATGCTTAATATATTAAGATAAGAATGAGTGATACAGAAAGTGTATAGTGAATATAGTGATACAGAAAGTGTATATAGTGAATATAGCGATACTGTCCGTGAAGGTATTGATGCCAAAAATATATTGAAAGAAAAGTTTTTGAATTACACATGTAAAGACTGTGAGATGCTAAAATTACCAATTAAACAGGGTTTTATAAATGGTGTTTGTAATAATATTTGTAAGTATATGGTTTGTGATAACTGTAATAGAATTATATGTAAAATTGATGATATGAATAACAGAAATGTTGATATTGATATTAGAAGTGTTAATACACCCGATGAAGATTTAGAAATATTTATGTTTATTGAAATGAACAAATTCTGGACTGAAAAGAGTTTGATAATCTGTTATATAGTGGTGATGATGAAGGAAATGATAATGATTTCTTTATCTCATCCTCCAAACAACAAAGGGGCAGAGCCCCCAAACCCCAGGCGGCAGGTTCGCCGCAGGCCATTATTACCTAGCCTTTAACCAAGGCAAACAAACCAGAAACACCCCAAGGTCCCAAGCAGTCCCTAGGAGGTCCCCTGTTTTGCGAGAGCACATGAAGAGCGGGCAAGCCTTTTCACCAAGTGCGTGCGACTGCCACTGCATGAGCTCCTGCAAAAAATCTGGCCCTCCTTTAGCCAGCTGAAAACCTTGGACCATCTCGCAGCCCAAATTTCAGAGCTCTCTTCTCTGAATCTCAAGTGCCCGTAGTAGGTCACCTCCCCCCCCACCGTGGCTGGTGGCTAGGGCGGGAAGGGTGGGTTCTCAAATCATCCTGGGCCAAAAGCAGTCCTCAGAGCATCGCATTCGCGACAAGTTGCGACAGTGTGTCTTGCTGAAAACATCAAGATGTGGCAATTCGCATTTACGGCAAATTCTGCATTTCGAGCATGGGGCCGTAAATGGCCCAAGGGTCCTTAGATAATGAGTCACACATTAAGGTGAAACCACGAGCATTTTGCACATGCCGCTGAGTTGCGTTCTGCATGTACCAAACTTCCCCTAAGCAGGCGCACCGTGACCTAACCTAGCGTGCACCTCCGCCTCCCACCGCCACCCAAGGTTTTGGTTCCTTCCGACAAAGTCTTATGGGCTTCGCCCAACCAACTTTATCTCCATCCTCCAAACACCAAAGGGGCAGAGCCCCCAAACCCCAGGCGGCAGGTTCGCCGCAGGCCACTATTACCTAGCCTTTAACCAAGGCAAACAAACCAGAAACACCCCAAGGTCCCAAGCAGTCCCTAGGAGGTCCCCTGTTTTGCGAGAGCACATGAAGAGCGGGCAAGCCTTTTCACCAAGTGCGTGCGACTGCCACTGCATGAGCTCCTGCAAAAATCTGGCCCTCCTTTAGCCAGCTGAAAACCTTGGACCATCTCTCAGCCCAAATTTCAGAGCTCTCTTCTCTGAATCTCAAGTGCCCGTAGTAGGTCACCTCCCCCTCTTCAGCGAGGGCACTCTCCTTCATCCCCACTCCGTGCGGGTTTCCATCTTGCGCTTCTTGCCCATGCCTGGCTCGCGCACACACTTCTTTGCTTGCCTTTAGCCTTTCCATTCCATGACTTCGTCATGGTACCAACTCGTGAAACAAACTCAGGTCCATGTGCTCCAGCTTCAACTCCACTCCTCTCTCGGCCTCCACCTCAAGTCCAGCGCTGCATCCACCCGAAACAGCAAGAAAGCCAATTGCATGTGCACCCAAGCCAGTGGAAATTTGTTCGTAGAGTTCCCTTTTACCACGAAGTCGGTGGCCAGGTTGTCCGTCCCGGCTGTAATCGAGACACACTGTGGGCCCCTCGCCTCTACCAACTTGAAAGCATGAAGGGCTGCCAAGGTCGCCAACAACTCAGCTGCTGTGCTCAAACATGAAGCATGGCCACTCTCCCCAAAGAAGTGCGGAAGCTCATCCTTGCTTATCCTCAACAAGAACCACAAGCCCGGTTCTCCCTCCTCCAAAATCTGCCAACCTCCCAAGACCACGAAGTCCTCTCCACGCTTTGCATCCGTGCGAAAAACCTCTGCTCCGGCCTCTGGCGCTGCCTTGCTGCTGACCATGCGGTTCCCAGACCTCAGCAAGTTGTTGATGTACCTCAAGGCCAGCAGCACCATTTTGGGGACCTGCAGCACAGCGCCCCCTCCTACCGCTGACTTCCAGGCATGCAGGGGAGCCAGAAAAGGTTTCGCCCAACACAGCAACTGGCTTGCATATACCAGGCATCCCAGAAACTCCACGAACCTCCGGTGTAGTACGCCCCTTGTCCCTTTCCAACCCTTCGATCCACTGCACAAGCCAGGTGGTCCTCTTCTCTGACAGCCCCGCCTCAAAGCGGGTGTAATCAAAATAAAATCCGACGTAGTCCAACTCCAGGCCACCCCGAAACTTGCACCACTTGAAAGGCGTCCCCATCATCAGCCACGCCACCACAGCCGACCAGATCACCAAATACTTCTGCTCGCCAGCGGCCACCAGTTTGAGGTCATCGGCAAACAACAGTTGATACAGATGGTCCTGCATCGCCAGTCTCAGAACCAGCCTCCCTAAAATCGCCGCCAACCTTCCAAAGTGATACGCTGCAGGCGCCACCCAAGTTTCGCCCTACACGCCAACAGTCCGTGGTCATCTGGGTGGTGCAGGAATCTTCTGTGCGCCTTCGCAATGTCCGCAGCAACTGCCAGCATGAAGCGGTGACCGTCCTCCTGCGAAGCCTCCATCAAGCGGCAAGAATTCGCCGGTCCAGGAAACTCCAGTCGGTCTTGTATCACGATCTCCGAGTTGACCTTCACAAAGTGAGTAGCGTCGCGCAATGCCCGAACTGTCCCATCCTCCTTGCACCAAGTGAAGCAATCCTCAACCGCTCTCCGAATCTCCGGCGGGCCTCGGCCTCCGATAACGGGTACATCAACCCCATGGCCTCCTCTTCTTGAAACTGCTTCTCTAGGGTGTCCTCGTGCGCCTGTGCTGAAGTGTAATTCACGTTATCCTCACGCAACTCAGTGTCATCGTACTGCCGGTATTTCAGTTTTGGTCTGAACACCAAAGGCACCCGAGGAAAAGCTGACTTGAAGCCTACTCTGCGCCCCTTGTCCTCACCCTCAACTAAAACCTTCCAATCCTCATCTTCCATCCGCCTCGCTGTCTGCGCAATTGCCTGCAAGAAAAAGGGCTGGTTCGCCACCTGCTCCTTTGCCAAAACTGGATCATCCAGCAAAGAAAACCACTCAGCCCTCAGCCCGTTCAACTCCGCTTCATGAAACGGCGTCTCCTCCATCTTGCCCAAAGCCAAGCGAAAAAACTGCTTCTTCAGGTCCCCCACGTGCTTCCTCGTCCACCTCTGCAACACCTCTCGCAGCCTTTCAATGAAGTCCGCCACTTCACCAGAAATCGCCAGGCCTCGTTGCTTGGGTCTCCATCTGCCAGGGGAGTTGAGTCCACAACCATCAACAAATGATGCTGGCTTCTTGCCCCGCCATCTGACCGTGAGGGGTTGTCCATAATTATGCAGCTTGGCCATCATCATAAGCCATGAAAAGAATCCACCTCCTCGTCCTGTCCATCCGTTTCCGAGACTGCCCGATCCAGCACTTGTTTTGCCTCCACCATGGCCGAAAACGTGGGCGCAGAGTAAAAACTGGCCTCCTCTACCTTGTCCTCCTCCTTCTTCCTGCCTGCTTGCTTGCTCAAACCCCCCCCCACTGCAACGTGCGAGCCAGTCACACATTGCTGGAGGGTATGCTGCAGCTGCTGATGTACGCCAAATATCCTGCTCTGTTTTGCCCACCAGTGCCGCCTCATGCTTGCCATGTGGACATCCGTGCGGCAATGGACCCTTGTACGCACCATTCCAATCCAATTGCGGCAATCCAGCAAACATGACTGCCCCTTCCCAACTGTCAGAAGTTACCATGCGTGTACGCTTGCTCGTAGCCGCTGCAAACTGACACTGGAAAAAAGCAAAACTGCAACCCTGCGTCGTCATCAAGAGATCCCTGCGTTCCTTCCAATCCCAAATGGACGCTGGTGTCACGCCGCCTGTCCGCCCCAGCTGCTCTGGATGTTCAGCTCCGTAATGCCCTCCATGTTGAGACACTATTTCGCAAGCCTCGAAGGACTTCCACACCAATTGATTTGCTTGCTCCAACGATTTCCGAGGCCCATGGAAAGCCGTACACATGGTTGATGTCGCGAATGGGCCTGGGCCCTGGCCTTGTCCTCCACTGACATCTTGCTCTGGAAAACGTGTTGCACGGGGGCGAACCAACACAAAATCCGCCTCCTGCAAGAGCACACGAACCTTCCGCCACAACGCTTCCGACAACAAGTCTTGCTGTGGCCCTCTTAATAAATCGATCTCGACCCCCTCGAGCTTGAAGTTCTGTTGCTTTGCAAGAGCTGTCAAGCATTCTCTCACATCCGATTTCCTGCGTGGGCCACAAAAGAGGTAGACAAACTTCAGTGAACGCCCATCAGCTTCCTGCCAAGTGGTCCACCCCAACGTGTGGAGGCTGCAGCAAAATCTCCTCCACACCTGGAGGCTCTTGTCAGCCCTGCTTGGAATCCGCCGACTTGGGGTGCGATTGTAAGCAAAACTGACAGCAATGTACTCGCTGACATCCCTTGGTGGTGCACTTGTTGTTATTGTATCCGTACCAAATTTGACGTCCATCAGGTGTTTGGCTGTGAACAAAGCCTTTCTTCGACTGGAAGCTGCCGGAGGAACCCTTCTTTCCTTTGCCCCTGCCCTTCTTGCCTTTGCTATTGAGCTCGAACCTTGCATACTTGTTGGGCCGCTCCTCCTTTGCTGCGCGACGCCACCTCCAGGGCCAAGGGCGTGATAAAGTGTGTTTCCTTCAAGGACGCATCACTCCTCACTTCCTCCAGCGTGTCAACTATTTTCTTGCCACCTCTGCACGCCCTCTTGTATGCCTCATGTCGCAACTTCTGCTCAAAGGCCAACACCAAAGTCCAGCTTGGTTGCATCGCCTGCGTCGTGGTACCATCTGCACTGGCCATCTGGATGCGATACACCTTCTCACCAAGCACAAAGTCCACGTGTTTGTTGAAATCGTTTGCGCACAAGTTTTCAAACCAGATCTTGCTTCTGAACTTTGCCGCTAACATCAGAAAAGTGTTCGTTTCCAGCTTGATCTTGTGCCTCAGCTCTTCAGACGAGGTTGGCAGCTTTGACTTACTGCGTTCCTTGGTGATGCGAATGCGACCTGAAGGGTCAGGGACGACTGAAGGCTCGCAGAGGCCTCTTCACTTGCTGAGGCTACATCACTTAATGGTGAGCCTACGATCTCACCCGTCTCCGTCTCCTCCAGCTTCATGGCAACGTAGGTGGCCGCCGGCTCCTCTCTTTCCTCCAATCGCCCCACTACCTTTTCCACCGCCACCCGCATGGCTCCTCTCTCGCTGGGCGGAAGTGGCTTCGGCAGCCCAGCACGTGTGCCTCCGCTGTCAGCTGCCTCTCCCGTTCAGCTCCATCAAAACAAGTTGACCAACTGGCCACCAATGCTGCCAGTTGCGCTCGCTCCTCGGGGCCTTGATCTGGATCCAGTCTGAGGTCTGCCCTCAGTGCAGCTCGCGCCTCTGCCCGCGTGTCCGCCAATGCTGCGAAACGGCGAACATCCACATAGTGCTGACGCAGCGTGCACTGCCTTTCCAAACTCACGCCCAGTGATTCCCAGATATACGTCAGGTCTGCACTCATGTTGCACTAAGCAGGTGAAACCGCTCCTGGCACATTACTCCCGCTGACAAGTGTGCTATCTGCTTGCATCTGATGCATGTTTGAACCAGACGCATGGTGCCCTAAGGCTCATCCAGGCGTTCTCTCCACCTGTTCCTTTCTCGCCTTCTCGAAGCGAGTTATGAGCCACACACAAGCACATCTCTCATGCTTTGCAAGGCATCTCACTCATGCCACTCGAGTCTAGGCACATCTCTCATGCCACTCGATCCTGCACCAGTGTTTTCACAACCTTTCGCTTCCTCTGTGCTCGAGGACGAGCCCGAACTTGAAGAGTCCTCCTCTTTCTGTGCCGCTCGTCCCTTGAATTTCACCTCACACCTCTTGCACCATGCGTCTGCCTTTGCAGACTCCACGTCATTGAACAATTCCGAATTCTGTACTGAGCTGGGGCACAATCCACACACACCCTTCCAACGCAACCTCCGGAAGGATGATTTCCTAGTGACTGCAACCCAGAACTTCAGCTTGGTTTCTCTCTCTTTGCCCTCAACTTCCACTGCACATGGCTCTGGCTCATTCAGACTCACCTCTGGATCAGCCCCCAGCATGTTTCAGCCTGTGGCAATAGCCGGGTAGTCGACCTGCATTGTTCCTGCGCCAGATGCGATGCCTGAGGTGTCCACGACGCTGCTGCACGTTCCTGGCCTCTCCAAAGTCCTTCAACTCTTCCAGCAACTCACTCTCATTCACACCTTCGTGACCTTCACAAAGAGCCTTGTTGACCTTTGCCTGAATGTTGAAAACCGCATGCCTTGCTGACAAAATGTAAGCGTTGCTCTCTTCGGAACTGGCCATCCACCTGCCCAGATAATCCCTGTCAGATTTCGCAATGCCAACATTTGCTGCCCAAGTGGGCAACCAGTGTCTCGCTGAGTGCCCAGACCAGAAGTTGAGCAGCTCCGGCACCACCAGGTCCGCCTTTGTGGCCTCCCAACCTCGACCACCAAAGCGGGGCGCCTGCAAATCACTGAGTACACCTTTGACGGAAGTGTTGAATGTCTCAACCTTCAAGTACTTCCTCACGCCTTCACTCCAGTCAGCACTTGGCATCGGCAAGAAGTAGGGTCTGCTCCAATAAAATGAATCACTCCTGAAAATCGCCCAGCCTGCCTGCAGCAAATCGCAACCAGACAGGGACACTGTCCTGCGAACATACGCTGGCAGCTCCACCACCCTGCGTCCTGCTCCTGATGTCTTTGTTCGGGTCAAGATAACAGTCAAACCGTTCTCTGTGAAGCGCATGCGTTCAACATCAATCCACTGCACATCGTCTGCACGCAAGCACATCCAATGCATCAGCAACACTGTCCACGCCATGATCCGTGAATAAGGGCTGCGGCCAAGATCCACAACAACGATTTCAAGTGCGACCAGCGTGGCAACCGTGAAAGGTTTGGCCGGTTTACGTGCAGGGTGTCCCTCATGAAGTTCCGTCTTCAGCGACCTACAAACTGCTAATAAGGTGGAATCCGTGGAAAACTTCTCCTCGTCTTCAACCCGTCCCACCGTTTCCAGCAGACTCAAGGAAGCCAAAAGATTGTCTGGCGCGGAAACTCCACATCCATCCACCACCAACATCTCCAGATACTCCATGATGTCGCCTACTTTGTCCGGCCAAGGAACCTGTTTTACCTGTACCAAGCAGGTCTGGAAGCGTTTCCAAGTGCGAGCCCTGTTCCTCAAGGTTTTGGCCCTCCGTGCTCCAAAAAATTCGGATCCAAGCTCCTGCTCCAATTGAAGGGTCAGCCAAAACACTTATAACTGGAAGGTTTGCCAGTTGCATGAAGTACCAGAGCTCCGCTGCCCGCTTCTCCTTCTCAGACCGCTCAATCTCTACCGGACCCGCGTCCTCCGCCTGAAGGGCTGCTGAACGATGGCTCTTGTACTTCGCCCGCACCAGATCCACATTGTTAGCTCTCATCTCGGCAAAAGCCGCTTGAAGCTGCTCTGCACTCCCGTCAGACCTATCCGCCAGTCGAGGGCGCGATGCTGCCGACCACACTAACTGAAGCTCGCGCTTGCCTCTGGCCCTATGCTTCTGCTGGATGACTTGGGGCCAGACGCGAGCAGGAGGTCAAGGCCTGGCCACTGAGCTGCTTGGGCTTAGTAGCTGGCATAGCTTGAGACCAGTCTCAGACACGTGAGACTGGTCGTTGGCCTGAGGCCAGTCTCAAACACGTTAGACAAACCTGACCTTGGCACGCTGGGCTGTGGCTGGCATGCTCTGAGATGCGCCGGGGCCTGGGCTGGGCAGGCTGGGCTGAGGTGGGTTGCTGGTTGGGCTGGGCCTGAAGCTAGTCTCAGCCACGAGGCTGCGAAGCCATGGGTGGGTTGCTGGCTGCCGGGCAGCCGGCGCCTGGAACTTGGGCTGGGGTGCTTGGGCGGGTTGCTGGATGGGCAAGGCCTGTTTCATACACACTTGGGCCTGAGGCTGGGTGGCAAGTTGCTGGCTGAGCTGGGCCTGAGCAGTCGCAGACACGTAAGACACGCCAGCAGGCGGGCTGAGGGACTGGGCCTGACGCTAGTCTCAGGCTGGCATACTGGTCTCAGCAGGAGGTCGACCTGGCCAGCCTGGGCTGAGAAGAGCCCGCGTCTGCAGCTCATCGCCCCCTTGTTCGCTTGCTACAACACGACCCCAATATTCAATACCGTTCTGGTCCCTCAGGTCCTCCAAAGCGGACAACGGGGTCTTGTGATACTTCTGCAAGCATTTGCGTACATCCAGCGGAAATTCAGTCCAGTCCATGGCGCAGCGAGTGAGACACGAACGCCCCACCGTTCTCAAATCATCCTGGGCCAAAGGCCTTCCTCAGAGCATCGCATTCGCGACAAGTTGCGACAGTGTGTCTTGCTGAAAACATCAAGATGTGGCGTGGCGCAGCCACGGATTGCGCAATGCGCATTTACGGCAAATTCTGCATTTCGGGCTTGGGGCCGTAAATGGCCCAAGGCTCCTTAGATAATGAGTCACACATTAAGGTGAAACCACGAGCATTGTGTACATGCCGCTGAGTTGCGTTCTGCATGTGCCAAACTTCCCCTAAGCAGGCGCACCGTGACCTAACCTGGCGTGCACCTCCACCTCCCACCGCCACCCAAAGTTTTGGTTCCTTCCGACAAAGTCTTATGGGCTTCGCCCAACCAACATTTTTAAGTATTATAGTATAGTAAAAAGATTATGCAATATTTCTTTCGATACTGAATGTTTAACATATGAAGCACTAAATGACGATGACTTTTATTTTTTTAAGTTGTGAGTATAATACAGATGAACTTGAATATACATTAAAAGAGCAATTAGAACATTAGGTTGGTTTAAAAAAGAAATAGGACATAATATTTATAATGAAAAACAACTGATAAAATAATAAAAAGAATTCAGAAGTATTTTATAAAGAGGTATAGTAATTCAGACTAATAATGTAATTACAACATGTAAAATATTATATGTTGTGTTTATATTGTACTTATCGTTTGTAAAGATTATATATTTTTGTTTTCTTGATTTTGGTTAACTCTTTCAAATGTTCTAAATTTGACATGCTAGGCCCTTTCAGTTTTTTCGGTGGTTGGTAGTTGCTTTTTATTTTGTTGTTGTGCTTTGTTGTTTTAAAATTGTTGGTGTGTTGCTTTGTTTTTTCTTGGTGTGTGTTTTTGAGTTTGGGTTGTTTGATGGTTTTTTGTTTTGTGTTTTGTTGGTATGCTTGTATGATTTAATGATGTTGCTATGCTGTTAGTAAATGTTGTTGATGCTGCTTGTTCTGATTTATTTTGTTGAGTGGTTGTTCTGGTTTGTGTTTTGCTGTTTGTTGTGTTGCTGTTAGAGAAAAATAGTTAATAGGAGAGTTCGTTGAACTCTCCTTTTGCTCTTTTTGGCCATGGCATCAGCCAGGTTGCCCTGGCCGGAGTAGACTTCCCAGAAGACCTTCTTGCCATTGGGCTTGAACTTAAGGGCCTGGCCGAGCTGGTAGTTCATGTTGTTGTACCAAGTCGCCAGCGCCACCTCGAAGGACTTCCACATCTTGGGGGGAAGATCACTAACCACCGGTGGAGTGGTCCCTTCATGGTCGTCGAGGTGGTCGGTCTCCTCGAGGTTCCAGATATCGTCCTCGAGTGAGGTGTCCTGGTAGTTTACGTTCTCCGGAATGTTGGGGCCTGGTCGGCCTGTGTCAACGCGTGGAGCTCGACGGCATGATTATCTATGTCCGTGTTCAAATCATCGGTCATGCGATCAAAAGATAAGTCATTGTGCAGGGCGTCCTCGACACCGTCGTCGAGTCGGAGCAGGTACTCGCCCATCGGTCCTCGGTGCGCAGGTTGCCATGGTTCCTGTAGCACACTGCACATCTGCTTCTTGTAGTCGGCCTTGACCTTGAGAGCTTCTAAGACCGGGCGTCCGATCAGCAGAGGCGTGGAGCCGTCCACCAGGAAGACCGGAAGGTGCGCACACCATGTGGCCATTGCGCTGTGGTCTCCCCCGAACCTGAAGGACTTATTTGTTCTGCTGAACTCGAAATCCCCCACACGAACTCCTTTCTCCGTAATGGATGATAGGAGCCGCATGAGTGTATTGTGTCCGCATAGCATGCTTGACGCGCCTCCGGTGATGATGTCTGTCCGGGGGCTGTTTCCTGTTGGGCAACTAGG